CAAGTCGTTTTAGAAAGATAAAGAATGTTCGATTATTTATAAATATCGAGACCAGATCTTAAAAGCTATAACAACCTTTTCTCGATAAATTTAAATAAATAAAGATGCAAAATTGGAAACAGGAAAACATGATTTATGGACCAAAATGCATGAAACTGAAAAGTTAAATGGCTCAAGCGGTACATAACCACGCGCAAAACAGGATCCCTAAACAATCATACGACACCGTTTTAGTAATCTAATATATATAACATTTAGGTCTAAAAAACTTAACCCTAGCTTCATTTGTAACCCTCAGCGCCTCAATGCTCCCTTCTTCTCCCTCTCTCTGCGCAGTTTTCACCCCTTAACCACTCTCCCTTTCGGCTGCTCCTCTCTTCTAACTCACAAACTCACACAGCCATCTCTCGACCACTTATCTCCTTGAACCACCAACGCACCCAAACGTTCCTCCTTCCCACTCTCTCTTCAAACGACACCTTCAAGAGACTCCAACGGTGAAGCCACAGACAAATGGTACTGCTCCCTCGCTCGACCCCGGAGACCAAAGACAGAACAATACACCAAACGCCTAAGGTAAAGCGACCCTCTTCCTCTATTCTACTTTGTTCTCTTGTAATTTCATTTTATTAATGTATGTTGCTGAAATTTCTAACTGCTTTCAAAATAAAAACAAACAGAGATTAAACTGGAAATCAAAAGAAATTTAGAAGATACCGAAAAAAATTATTTTCCTTCTATTTCTTCTTGGCACAATGAGGGTTAGGTCTCCTCTTACAAATGTTCTTCGAGCTTTCGAATTAGGAGAGGATTTACACTGATGAGGAAAGATTTTTTACTGTTCTTTCTATTGATTCCCGTTTCTTCCCTTTGTTGATGAATTCTTCATTTGATTTTCGTTTGGAGTCTCCCCTGTCGTTCCCTGCTGTTCATGACCCCTGTATCTCTATTTTGTGCTTACCCGTGTTTCCCTGGTTATTTTTGGTTCTGTCTTTCTGATAACTGATGGATGTCCCCCCTGTTATGGTGTAAAATTCCTCTCCTTTTTCGTGGTCCTCTCGATATGGTTACCCCCTCTAAAAAAATTGACCCTTTCTTTAGTGATTAACTGAAAATTAAAACCACCATTTACAGTTTCTAGTGGTTAATTCATGATAACTATTTTTTGATTTTCCAGGGCTTCACGTGAGCTGCTCTACCGGGTCATTGGTTTGGGCCTCCAATTGCTCTGCTTCGGGTCTACTCTGTCCTAGCCCCGGACAAAAACGAGCATCTACACCTTTCATTTATATTGTCTTGGATTGTTATACCTCTAACATAACAGATATATTAAATATAAATTAAATTAAGGAAAAATAAGTATGTTTTATTTACTAAAATTTGTTAAGATTAATATTTTAATTATTCAATTGTTAAATTTTATATTTTGTTTACGAAAATTATGCATGTTAAACAATTGGATTCAAATTTTACGTAAATCGTGCATGTCATAATTTGAACAATCATCGTAACAATGGACTTCATATGATAAGAAGGAGATCTAATAACAATAATAAGTTCATTTATTAATATGTAAAATGAAGCTCCAAGTTCAAATTTTCACATCGAAATCACCCTATTTTGTCCTTTGATTTTATGATCATGAAGCTCCAAGTTCATTTATTAATATGTTAAAAACTTTAATATATTATATATGTATTATTTGTTTATTAGGGTGTTTAAACTTCGGTTTTAACCGAATTGACCGAACAAATTAGCCAAAAATATAAAATATATATTATTTATAAATTTCGATTAATTCGGTAAACCGACTGATTAACCAAACTTTATTCGATTCGATTAATTATTTTAATAATTTACTCTATTACATGAAATTATTATTTTTATCTAAATAAATAAAAACAGGTGTAATTCATATCAAATGAAAGGAATGAACACTTATCAATTCAAAATATTTCGATCTTGATTGCCGCATTGTACCTTGATAAAACAGGCTAAGAAGGGACAAAGTCTACGAGTAAAACCTAAAAATAATAAATACAAAAAAAGTATATTATTGTACGTACATATATTAACTTATAGAAAATTATATAGCGTCCTGACCTAAGGATATGCTATATAGTACGAACTCGACTATTGTTCACTAATCCACATATGAAATAATTCAACGAATACACTCATTTCTTTTTATAAATAAGGAATACGTCACACATGCAAAAACATTATAAAAACAGCCCATAATTCAGCCATAAAGATCCAAAAATTAGTGAAACCAAACAGTCAATTACCGTGCTCGTCACCAGCGGCATCATCGTTAGTCTGTAAACTACAAGCCCCGTCCACGTTAGCCTTAACCCAGCCCTCCGGAGGCCTTTGCCAATGCTGAGGACCAGAGGTCGAATGATGCGATCCACCTCCCTCATTGATCTTCCTAATTGCATTACTTGCCTCAAATTCCATAGCCAAGCGCCACGATCGATACAATAAATTATCCTTCTCAACAATTTCTCATCCAACAGTATACTACAACGACGTTTCCAAATCTGCCAAATTATTGCGGGGAAGACGATATTCCAGTTATAATTTGAAGCAGTAAAATCATCCTGGACTCGCAGGTTAATCGTCAACCAAGCTTCAAAAGGCATATTCATGAACACAGTTCATTTTAATATCGAACATTCATTTTATTTCTTAGGTAAATTATGGATTTAGTACATAAATTATCAATTTTGGTCCATTTTAGTATCTAAACTTTTAATTTTTTCAAAACTACACCTAAAGTTCAATTTTTGTTTCATTTTAGTATCCCGCCGTAAAAACTTTAGCTTTTGTTTCATTTTAGTACCCCATTCAGAATTTAATGTTAAATTTTGGGGGGGGGGAATAAAAGTTTAGGTACTAAAATAGGCTAAAACTGATATTTTAGGTACTAAATACGTTAATTTTTTAATGATGGGGTACTAAAATGAAATGAAAACTAAATGTTAGGTATGGTTCTGAAAAAATTAAAAGTTTAAGTACTAAAACAAATTAAAACTGATAGTTTAGGTACTAAATATATAATTTACCCAAAAGTTAAACATTGATATTAATTAATTAATTTCAAAATGTACATATATTTCCCCTCTAAAAAAGTAAGATCTAAGGGATGAAGATTCCTTTTTTTTATTCTTCCCCTATATATTTCCTGATGGAAGCTTTACCTATGATTATCGTCATCGGAATGCAACATTTCCTATAAATTAAAAAAAAATTATTAGAATTTGGTCCTTGTACTTTGCAACAAAAAAAAAAGTTCATTTGTTGATAAACAGTACATATAAATTGTTGATTGTCAGGAGATTTAACAAAATTTCTGACAATAAATAATGTGTTAAGTTATGATGTTTTACAAAGATAAAACATTGCCATCTATTTCGGTATGATCAACGTTAAGCTTAGGATCCAGAGCCATTTTTTCAAGACGAAGAAGGCTGCTTGTTGCCAAAATAGCCTTAGCATCAATATCATGCAAGCACCTATTGTACAAGCTGTTGGTGGCCATTGAAGCAGCTTCCAACAGCTCTTTACTTGTATGAGAACCCAGGAGGCAGTGTCCCAATATCCTCAAGCTCGGCTGCAAGAGCTCCCATGGCAGTGGGATCCTCCTCTCCTTCACCTTCGATTCTTCATTCTTCTGACCCGCTGCCCAAACCTCGCAGAACTCACAAAACTCGATCTTCGAACTCACCGGCATTTGAGATATCTTGCTGTAGTACAACTCTAGAGCCACCCCCACGATCCTCGGCCTCCTCGATGATCGCATCGTGCCATGGGGCTCCAACGTCGGAGATATCACCGCTAGGTTTAGCTCCGTTGCTTTGTTTTTCACAGACCCTTTGGCTTCGTGGTAAATGCTGGGCTGCGAGAGATCGGGCACGTTGACGCATACCGGCTGGCCATCGCGGGCGGTGGTTTCGTGGGCGTAGAGGGCTAACAGGATGGCTTCGAAGCCGGCGAGGGATTTGCGTAGGGCGATGCGGGTGAGGTAGACTCCGGCTATGATGGGGACGAAACGGAGGACGAGGAGTTTGAGTTCGGGGTCGGTTGAATGGAAGGTATCATAGAGCCAACGGCAGAGGTCGTTGTCGCCGGAGCCGGAGTCGGGGTGGCGGAGGAGGGAGGAGATTTGGGAGGAGACGGTGGGGTCGTGGAGGAGGGAAAAGGAAGGGTTGGAAGAGGAAGAGACGGAGGGAGGGAAGGAGGAAATGATGGAGGAGAGGGTTTGGATGCACGAATGTACTTTGGAGTCGGGGTTGGAGGAAGACATTGATTAAACTATGAAGTAATGAAAAACAAGGCATTTAGTTTTAATTTTTATAATAAAAAAAATCCTTGGTTTAAATTTCAAACGGAAGGAGATCATTATGAAGTGAAAATAGGATCCTTTATCACTTGCTAAACAATAGCATGATCACCCATCCTTCCCTCTTTTGTGGTTAAATTTGTTTTTTCTTTACTAATAATGGAATTCATGCCAAAATTAATTTATTAGGGGAATTTTTACCAAATATTATAAAATTAAGATATTATTTTTAAAATATTTCTCTTACAATAATAAATAAATCTGTGTAATTACATTAGGTATGTTTTGGATAGACATTGAGACCTAATGTATCTCGCATAAAAACAACAACAATGATGGAATTGCATAATCGTATATGGTCATCAAGCAAGAGCTATCACCTTCGATCTTCGCCAAAAAAATCTACTACTATTTTCACCTCACATCAGATGAGTTTAAAATCCTCAAACCAAGCACGATTTAATAGCATTGTTACTCCTCACTAAAAAAATTAAATTGATAAGGACATAAAATACTGTTAAATCAAAATTTTTTGAAGAGAAATTATGTCTCTAATTATAGATTTTATTTAACATATTCTTAAACAAGATAATTCTATAAATAATGATGTCGGTCGTAATGTTTATGAGATCACTGTCCTATATATGGGCTATACCTAAAAGTTACTATAAGCAATTAAAAAACCAATTAAAGCGACCCCAACAAGTAAGAGAAGTCCATCAATCAGATCAGCCGCCGGAATAATTGGCACCGTCGAAAAGGAGGGCAGCCACGGCTGCATCAAGATCTGTGATCTCAACGGCATACCAGCTGCCTTGTTCAGGGAGTACATTCGGTTAGAATATTCCAATGCTAGAGCCCTTAACGCTTCGTTTGCAGATAACATGTTGGCCAATAGTTCGGTGTAGACCCTGATCTTTTCGTTGGACTCGCCGATCTCAATCTCCAATGCCCTCACATCGTTGGATAAATCATCCAGCTCCTTCTGTTTCTTCGCACGTGATCGCCTTGCAGATTCACGGTTCGACTCCATCTTCCTCCTTTTGTTCTCGTCGGAATCCATGGAACTCGCTGGATTTTTCACAGTAGCCAATATCTCCGGGTAAACGGAAAACGCAAGACAATTCGAGCTACGTCGAAGCTGAATATTGTCTTAAAAGGGAGGACGATCGTCTGCTTTTATAGGCAAAGGGTTATCAAGTAATTATAACGGAGATGGAGGGATATTTAAGGTATTTTGATCTGATCATTCTATTAAGAAAGCGCACGTGCAGTGGCGCCAACTAGGCGTTTTTATACAGTTTCCTTAATGATTTTACTTTTCAGTCAAAGATATTTAATGCGGTTTTAATTTTTTCATTAAACTTTTACTTATTAACATTAAATATTATCCGATTTAAATATATGATAACAACTCAGCTGTGAGTAAATCAGCAATATTTATGGTAAAAGACTTAAATTTAATTAACGATTGCTTTATTAATATTTAACCAAATCTCCTAATATCCAAAATTTCTAAGATACAATAAAAGTACGCTAGAGTGTGAGGTTTCTTTTATGGAGATTACAAGTTTCATTCGGTAATAAAAAAAAAGTTAATTGCATTATACATCATTCAATTATGACACTTATTCTAAATTAGTCCTTAAAATTTTAAACATTCCAATTTCATCTCTAAACCATGTCTGACATTCTAAATTAGTCCTCAAACTTTAAACATTTCATTTTCATCCCTAAACCATAATCTTCATTCTAAATTAATCCCTAAACTTTTTGAACATTTCCATTTTATCCCAAATTATACATATATATTTATCATATCCCTTATTAATAAATTCGTTAGGCCAAGTTATATTATTGTGTGTTTGAAGGTTAAATTATTATTAAAATTGATTTCATTTTTTGATGAAATTGAGAGATTCAAAAGTTTAGGGACTGATTTAGAATGGGAGTCATTTTTGAGGATCAAATTGGAATGTTCAAAAGTTTAAGGATTGATTTAGAATGAAATTATAGATTAGGGATGAAATTGAAATGTTTAAAAGTTTAAGGACCAATTTAAAATGAGGGTCATGGTTACGGGACCGGATGTAATTAACTCTAAAAAATTAACTTCGCGTCATCAGAAGAATAATTAACTTTTTAACTGTTACTAATGAGCAAAATCTGTGGAATAATGTGTTGAAAAAAAAATTGCTCAGATGATGCAGTCGAAGGATTATTTACCCATATGAGGCGAATGTTACAGTTTTTCATAGGTCGCCATGTCTTCCAAACGACCTATGTTGGTCGCCATGTGCTCCGAACAACGATTACCTAAATTTCCCTAAGTAACAAATATTAACCACATCGGTAATTAGGCTTTCATGCGATTACCTAAATTTCCCTAACAACGATTACCTACATCAGTAATTAGGCTTTTTAACTACGCTGAAATGGAGGACGCCATGTATGCCGGGCGATCTTATAGGTCGCCATGTGATCCCGGCGACCAAACTGGCGAGATTTTTAGTTACTTTAGGATTTCGGGTAAAAGCTTAATTACTGATATAGGTAATGCAGCAGCTCACCACAGCTCGCAAGTACGGCATGGCGACCTTCTCGTGAATTTTTTTTCCAACAATATTATCTCGTTGATTTTGTCATTACTAATGATAAAAATGTATTGTGCGTAAATTATAAACCGTTGACGTATTTTGATTGAACGAAGAATTACGATCAATGATTTTTAGTGATAGGAGTACAAAGGGGTAATTTCAAAAGTTCATTGAAGAACATGAACAATTTAGAAGATTTCTCCGCCTTTTCAATTTTATGAGTTTATATATTGAACTTCATTTTATATGAGAGTTTATATATTTACATGCATTGCATGTGGATGTCAAGTCTAGCCAAGATTGTTATCCGTATGTATGGAAAGTAGACGAATAAACATAATTGTCCGACAAAATATCTGACTTAGCCAAGATTGTTATCCGTATGTATGGAAAGTAGACGAATAAACATAATTGTCCGACAAAATATCTGACTTTAATAGATCTCTTAAGCTTACCAGTAGTATTGTCAAAGGATTATGATTAACTGAGGGAGGGGTATAAAGCTCGACCGGGGGCCTTTATCAATCGAAAATTCATTCAGAAGCTTTGAAAGGCAGAGTTACAGCTTACGGATGAATATCTCTGAAGGTATAACAATTGTTCACAGAGAAATATCTCCGGTAGTATAATAAATTGTCCTCCTTAATCGATAGATAGGTCATAAAATATCTCAAAGGTCGCACCTTGTAAAGACCGGTGTTGAGTTATCGGTCAACAAGGCTTTGGAGAATTTTAAATATTAGAAAAACAATTAAAAATTGTCATTTAACGAAAATATTGACATTCAGTTGACCATCAAAACGTAAATGATAGATACTAATGAACAAAACAGAGCAAATGTAAACACGAAACCCACAACAAAAAACACGTAGATGTCCTAACGAGAATATATTCGGATCTCGATTGATAAAGACTCTTACTTGGCCATCATGACTTTGACAAACTCCTCGTAGTTTATCTGTCCATCGCCATCGACGTCAGCTTCACAGATCATCTCATCGACCTCCTCATCCGTAAGCTTCTCACCAAGATTCGTCATGACATGACGAAGCTCGGCGGCGGAAATGAAACCATTCTGGTCCTTGTCTAACACCCTGAATGCCTCTTTGAGTTCCTCCTCCGAATCAGTATCTTTCATCTCTCTTGCCATCAAATTAAGGAATTCGGGAAAATCTATGGTTCCATTTCCATCGGCATCAACTTCGTTAATCATATCTTGGAGTTCTGCCTCAGTAGGGTTCTGGCCAAGCGATCACATTACAGTTCCCAACTCCTTGGTAGTAATGCACCCTGCAGCAAGGATAAGAATAAATGCAACAAAAAAATGCTACAATATTGGTAATGAAAACATCAACACCATTGAATACATTTGTGTTGCGGAAGACGACTATCGAATAAAGCAAAATCACAACTGATAATTTGAGAAAATAAAAATAAAGATAAAAGAGATACAAAATTTACGTGGAAAACCCCTAAATAATATAGAGTAAAAACCACAGACAACAGTAGAAAAATTTCACTATGAGAAAATAGAAATTACCTATCTCGATCTACCAATGAGAAAACAATGATAATTCTCTCTTGATAAAAAAGGAGAAACCAACTCTCAAGAAACTATCTAAATTCTCTCTAGTATTGGAAGAAAGCTAGAATGCTTTGGGATGGTTTTGAAGCTAAATGAGCTAGGGTATTTATAGTAGAAGCTTTAAGGACTAATATTGAAAATACCCTAAATTACAATGACTAAAAGTGAGATTTTGCCATGTCACTTTTCAATCATTATTAGTGCCAACTATGAACCATTATTGTTGCCAACTTACAATGCATTATGAACCATTATTATGCACTATACAACTATTATTAGTTGTATGACAACTAATAATTTTGCATGACAACTAATAATCTCACACTTGAAGATTTGATTAGAATAATCATATCTTTTCACCATTCTTTCTACCTTGTACCTTCATGTTGCTTACGTTTCTGACAGGCCACAAGAGGATCGACACCAGATAAATTTATCAGCGTTGATCGTCTTCGTCATAAAATCTGCTATGTTGTCTTTGGTATGGATCTTCTGCATATCTACCGTCCCTTCTTCCACCTTTTCACGAATGAAACGGTATTGAACTCGTATGTGCTTTGTTCTTGAATGAAATGTTGGATTCCTTGCTAGATGCAAGGCGCTTTGTCTGTCACAAAACAGAGAGACATACTATTTATTGTGTATAAGCTCTTTCAATAGCATCTTCAACCAAATTGCTTCTTTACTAGCTTGTGTAGCTGCTACATATTCTGCTTCTGTTGTGGATGTAGCCACAACTGACTGCAATTTTGAAACCCAGCTTACAGCTCCACCAGCAACTTTAAACACATATCTTGTAGTAGATTTGCTTTTATCCAAATCTCATGCATAGTCAGAATCAACATACCCATTGATAAGTAAATTTGATCCTCCGTAACATAATGCAACATTTGAGGTCCCTTTGATGTATCTCAGGATCCTCTTTACTGTATTCCAATGCTCTTTGCATGGATTCGTCATGTACCGACTAACCACTCCCACTTCTTGTGCAATGTCTGGTCTTGTGCATATCATAGCGAACATTAAACTTCCCACTGACGATTCATACGGTACTCGAGACATCTCCATCATCTCTTCTTCACTGTTAGGACTCATACTGGAGGATAATTTGAAATTAATAGGAAGAGGGATAGAAATTGGCTTACAATCTTGCATGCTGAATCGTGACAAGATCTTCTTCAAGTAATTCTTTTGTGAAAGCCAAATCTTCCTATTACTTCTGTCTCAGTGAATTTGCATCCCTAGAATCTTGTTTGCTGATCTTAAGTCATTCATTTCAAATTCCCTAGCCAGTTGTGCCTTCAATTCTTCAATATGATCTTTGTTGGGTCTTGCAACCAACATGTTATCCACATACAACAGCAATATAACAAAATCGTTATCACCAGACCTCTTGAAATAAGCACAAGGGTCTGCATTAAGTCTGTTGTATCTAAGGCACATAATGAATAAATTAAATCTCTTATACCAACACCTCGGCGCCTGCTTTAGACCGTACAGAGATTTGTTTAACATGCAAACCAAGTTCATCTTTTCTTTTTCTTCAAAACCTTCAGGCTGGAACATGTAAATCTCTTCTTCAAGATTTCCATGAAGAAAAGCTGTTTTAACATCTAGCTGCTCTAGATGTAAGTTCAATGTAGCACACATTGCCAAAACTACTCGAACTGTTGTTAGTCGAACCACATGAGAAAATATTTCATTGAAATCAATACATTCTTTTTGAGTATATCCTTTGACCACCAGTCTTTCACGATACCTCTCAACTTGATCGTCATCATTTCACTTGATTTTGAAGACCCATTTGTTACAAATTGGCTTTCTTCCTTGTAGTAGTGGCACAAGGTCCCATGTATTATTTTTATGAAGTGCTTCAATTTCTTCTTGCATCGCCATCATCCACAGTGAAGCATCTGAGCTGTTTATTGCCTCCTGGTATGTTGATGGCTCACCGTCCTCTGTTAAAAGGCAATATGCAATATTTCCTTCTATAACATAATCTGAGTGCCAATTGGGACGTCTTCTCACACGATCTGATTGGCGAGTTGTTGGAGCTTCAGAACTCTCTGGTTCTTGTTCATCATGTGCTGGTTCTGCTTTAGAAGAATCTCCTTGTTCAACCTCCTTTTCCACATGTATCTGTGTAGTCTCTAACTTTTCAGTACTATCATCGTCTTCTTTTCTTTGTAGCTTATCTTCTACAAAGATAATATCCCTGCTAATGATCACTTTGCGGGCAGTGAGATCCCACAAGCGATACCCCTTTACTCCATTAGCATACCCCAAGAATTTGCATTTCCTGGATTTTGAATCCAACTTTGAAATTTATTGGGCATTGTACATCACGTACACAATACTTCCAAATACATGGAGGTTTGAATAATCAGCTGCCAGTCCATATCTTCATTGGTCTCTTCAGCTTTATTGCAGTTGATGGAGCTAGATTCACCAAATAACAGGCGGTATTGACTGCTTCAGCCCATAATGATTTTTCTAGGCCTGCATCCCTCAACGTTGCTCTTATTCTTTCTAACAAGGTTCTGTTCATCCGCTCTGCCACTCCATTTTGTTGAGTGTTTGCCACTGTGAATTGTCTTTTGATGCATTCTTTCTTGCAAAAGTCATTAAATTCTTCACTTGTGTATTCTCCTCAATTATCTGTTCTGAAACACTTGATCTTATTTCCAAAATTAAGTTCCACCCGCAATTTGAAGTTTTTGAAAGTGGAAAACACATCTGACTTATTCTTAATAGGGTACACTCGACATCTCCTGGAGTAGTCATCAATAAATGAGACAAAGTATTTTGCTCCGCCTAGGGATGTAAATGGTATTTGTCATACATCAGAGTGAACCAATTCTAGAACAATTTTGGCTCTAGAATTTGACGTGTTGAATTTCAACCGGTGTTGCTTACTTGTTATGCAATGCTCACACAAAGGAAGTGATACCTTTGTTAAGCTTGGAAGTAGCTTTTTCTCCATAAGGACTTTCATTCCTTATTCTGACATGTGACTAAGTTTCTGATGTCATAGCATTTCAGAATCTGAACTACATGAGGCAACAGATGTTTCTGCTTCTAGCAAAGTTTCTCCCTTCAGCATGTACAAGTTTGCAGCTATCTTTTCGCCTTTCAGCACCACAAGCACTCCACAGAACACCTTCATGATTATTTTCCATGTTTCAATCTTACTTGCATTATTATCTAACAATCCGTAGGATAATAAATTTTTCTTCAGGCCTTTCACGTGGCGCACATCTTGAACAACTTTAATTGTTCTATCATATATCTTCAATTTGATGTTTCCCACGCCAATAATCTCTAAGGTATGATCATTACAACATTACACAGATCCTCCTAAGACAGGTTCATAATGATGAAACCATTCTCTTCTTGAGGTCATGTGATATGTTACTCCCGAATCAATGAGTCATATGTCTGCATATCTCTTTCTACCTTCTACGGTGGTTGACGCTTCACAGCATAGAGCATCTCCATCATCTGAAGTGTTTGCAGTATTGCCTTGTGGATTGGAGTTTTTATTTAGACTCCAACAATCCTTCTTCAAGTGATCATTCTTTCCACAGTTGTAGCACTTTAAATTCTTCTTGCTTCTCGACTTCGATCTACCATGTTTGTAACTGCTGCTTTGGTCACGTTCTGTTGATCTCCCTCTCATCGTTGTCAACGCTTCTGCTTGTCGTAGATTTACTTGTCTGTCTTCCTTCTTCTTGCGCCGATTTTCTTCTTGTAGAACAGCAGCTGCAACGTCATCAAAGACTAGACTGGTGACATTACTGTTTGTCAAGTTGATGATGAGTTGATCATACGAATCAGGTAGACTTTGAAGTAGAAGTTCAGCACGTTTTTGTTCTCCTATTGTACATCTTAAGGATGTAAGCTGAGAAAATAACGTGTTCAGTGTGTTTAAGTACTCCATACTTGAAGTAGATTCTGACATCCGGAGAGTGTACAATTTCCTCTTAAGGAAAATTTTATTGTGCAACAATGTGGCCTCGTACAATTTGGTGAGATGATCTTAAATCTCCTTAGCTGTCTTCTTCTCCTCGATGCTTGACAATACTTCATCTGTTAATGCTATATGAAAGTTTGCCATTACATTCCCGTCCATTTCGATTTATTTGTTGTCGTCTGTGAAATCTACCGGCCTTTCACTGATAGCTGCTAGACAACCGTCTTTCATCAGGATGACTTTCATCTTCAATTTTCACAATGAGAAATTTCTCCCATGCCGATTTTCAATATCAAATTTCGTTGTCATAGCTTCTATTACGGATATCTCCCACTATTTTACTATCGTGAATAGTTCTCTGGAACCTTCAAAGAATGTGTAATACCTTCTTACTTTCTTATGTTGGAGAATCTACCTTTTGGTGGCAACCACAAAGACAATAAGCAGATATTACACACTCAAATCTGACTCTGATACCAATTGTTGCGGAAGACGACTATCGAATAAAGCAAAATCACAACTGATAATTTGAGAAAATAAAAATTAAGATAAAATAAATATAAAATTTACGTGAAAAACTCCTAAAAAATATAGGGTAAAAACTACGGGCAACGGTAGAAGAATTTCACTATGAGAAAATAGGAATTATAACCTCCCTCGATCTACAAAGGAGAAAACAATCATATTTCTCTCTTGATAAAAAAAGGAGAAAACAACTCTCAAGAAACTCTCTAAATTCTCTCTAGTATTAGAAGAAAACTAGAATGTTTTGAGATGGTTTTGAAGCTAAATGAGCTGAGTATTTATAGTAGAAGTTTTAAGGACTAATCTTGAAAATACCCTAAATTACAATGACTAAAAGTGAGATTTTTTTCATGTCACTTTTCAACCATTATTAGTGTCAACTATGAACCATTATTGTTGCTAACTTACAATGCATTATGAACTATTATTATGCACTATACAACTACTATTAGTTGTATGACAACTAATAATTTTGTATGACAACTAATAATTTGGGCAGGTAAAAAAGTATAGATGAACGATTATTGGCAAAGAGGCACAATAATTCTACGTTACTCTGGCTCGAGTAAGTATTAGAAATGTGTCCAGCGCCAAAATTTTCAACTTTTTCCGAGTTTCTTCCATGTTTTGAGGATTGACAGAGAGTCATATTCGGTTTACTCATACCCAAATATGAATTGGAGACGAGAAACCGGATACAGAAACTATAAGGAAAAAAGGAACAGTCAGAAATATAGTTGACAATTTTCGAACTTCTATGTGCCGTAAATGTCTGCCAAGATAAGTCGTGAAGACTTACATCCAAACAAGACAATAAACATGTTTTCAATGTGCCAAAAGAAAATCAATGTATTCAGAAGCATTTGTCAAAAAAAAAAGTATTCAGAAGCAATGAATTCACTCTCAAATTACCAGAACAACACCATAAGGGTCAGAATTCATATGCATCCAAATTTGATCATTTGTGGATTAGATGATAAATATGAAACAAGTAATAGCTCAAAAATCTATGCATGTCATTCCTATCATAGACGAAATCCATAACCTTAATGTAGTGTGAAACGTTTAATCATGATCATGTAAAAAAATCAAATAAAACAAGCAAATCGAAACCAAAATATCAAACACGAAGCATGCTACAAATCCCCAAATACAAATACTAACACGTCAAATAAATGAAATCAATGAGACGACAGAGGAAGGCCAACAATGATGGAAATGAAAGAGAGCAAGAATATGGCTCAAAAAAGACTTAAAAATCAGACTATGGCCAAAAATAAAACAAGGCTTAGATCTGCGAATCGGAGCAGAATCGAAGGACGATATGCATTAAAAAACATTTAAAAAAACATCGAGGAGTAAATTGAAAGAGAAAGATAAGGTACCATCGCCGTCCTTGTCGAATAGGCTGAAAGCCTCTTTGAACTCAGAGATCTGGTCGTCAGTAAGCTGATCGGCCATTTTTCTTTCACGGAAAGATGGCGTTTGGATAGAGAAAAATCGCGGAGGAAAATGAAGACAACGTACGAGGTTGAATGTGGAGAAATGGGGATGGAAAGGCTTAAATAATGGGCCCAAAGTTAGGCCCAACACAAATTAAGGCATCTAATTGTCTCTCATCCGCAAGCATTTGCTCAATTCTCTCTCTCGCGCAACTCCATCTTTATGCAAATCTATAGTACCACCACTTATGAAAATGAAGGCTTAATTTTGATTTAAAAAATACAAAAGATTTTCATTTTTTTTCTTTTTTTAAAAAATAAAAAATGCTTTAATGAAAATTTTGAAAAATAGTTTTCTAAAAAATAAAAATTTGTGGGAAAAAAATAAATTAAGCTATCCTAATTTAAAATACCAACAGTTTAATTGGTTTGAATAAATATCACTTACTCTTCCTAAACGCAACATTTAATATTATATTTGTTGATGATTAAAACCATAGATGAAAATAATCATCATGAATAATGAATTATCTTATTTGATTTAATAAAATATTATAATTTATGATTATCACAGGTAATATTAAAATCTACATTCACATTCGATAATCTAAGTCTAAGAAAGAATAGAAGAATAGAAAGAGGAGAAAGGAAAGCCTAAGTATTCTCTCAGGGGCTTTCTCTTTAGGAGAGAAGAAAAATTATTTATTTGATTGGTGTTCTTTTTACCACGTAGTAATCAATAGATTGGCTGATGATAAAGAATAGTTGGATGATCATTTTATAACTTTTGATAGTCAAGAGATTCAATAAAGCAACACTTTATAATCGGAGGATAATTTTATAGCTTTCAATAATTGAAGGACTTAATAAAGCAGTACTTTATAGTCACGAGACCATTTGTGTACGTTACCCAAATAAAATTAGGGATTAAATCTTAATTTGGTAGGATGGCATTATATATGTGTGTATCTTGTTAGTGAACAATATACTATCCCTTCCCTTCTATTAATTTTCATACAGGTTTGGGTGCTGGCTAAGGGTTTCAAATATGCATGCATGGCTCATGCAAACGAGTTGTGTAATCTGTAGTAAGTTATTTTTCAAGTAAAAAAAAACAAGTTCGTGTACATAAAACTTCGAATATATATCTATAATTGTTGAATTTTTTTAATGTATTCAAGTTTACACAATCCATGCGAATAGGGTACAAGTTCAGCGTTCAATCATCAGTAAATAAATAAATAAAAATACACTTTCAAAATTAAAAACAAAACCCCATTGGTAAACCTTTCACAATGTGAAAAGAAAGAAAGAAAGGCGACACACATTGGTTGCCGACTGCTCGTTTTCCTTGAAACACTTCGTGTCAGATACGTTTCGAACATGGATCCCTTCGAAAACCCTCTAAATACACGAGGAAAAGAATATAAAGAATTGAACAGATCCATGTCGGATTCGACACTCACACCCGAGTCCAAATAAAAGATACAAAAAGGATCACCTTCAATCTCTCCTCATCTATACGTTATAGCCATCAATGGTATATCTACTCTACGTTTATAAAATCTCACTCTTCTCTATAATGCAAGATGTTGTCTGTTGGAAAACTAGATTGAGCTTCAATATTCAACAAACATTGAATTCTAACTTAGACTCTAAATAATGTCAAATATGAAAGAATGCCTAACCTCTAAGGCTGCAAATGTTTTGATAAACTCACCAAGTAATACCTGGCTTCAAATGATTTAATCAGTAAGTGATGGCCCAATGTTCTATATTCTACAACTCTCCCGTAGAAAAGACGATAAGCGGCAGATGTCTTTATCTTCTCCAGGCCGCTGGGATAAACACGGCTATCATCGAACTCGTACCATTGACCATCCCCATGCTACATCAAAGAAACAAAAATTAGAGTATTCTAGCTATTCGTGTTGTTCGAACCCACAGAACATAATGCCAAACACAAATATTTAGGTAATCATGGTTAGGTCTTCACTTACATGGACAAATGCAGTATAATGACCACCTCTCATGCTTCCATAGTGATTACTGACAGCATAGAGCATGTAACGGTTAGATAAATCACCATTCTTATAGCCAATATAATTTGACAAATCAAGATCGTCAATGGGAAAATCAACATATGTCTCCAGCTTGTTTCCCAAAATCCAAACAGAGGAAATATCCCTCCCAGGCCTTATTTCTGTGATTCTAACCCCTCAAAAGACAAAACCCAATTTTTTTAGGATTTGTGTCCTTTCCCCCTTAATGATCTGATCACTTTTTTTTCGGTTTGATCGCAATGTCGGATGATGTGTTGTTACATTTCTCTTCTAATTCCTCAAACCAATCGGACCATTCTTTACCCACCAAGATTGCGAAGCTCGAAGCTCGCTTGGTAGGGAAGGCCTCTTCATCCATTGCTTCTCAGCAACCGTCACAAACCCAGCAGCAACAGCAACAGCTGCCTTGGCCTCCTCTATCATCAGCTTCGAAATTCTTTTCTACTGAGAACTTGTCGGAGGCTTCTGGTTCAAGTGATTCCGATGGAGGTAAAATGCCTGGTATAAATGTATGATTGTTCATTGAAACATATATAATATTTAATAACTGCGTTTTTCCTAATTGAAGTTGTCTTTTGTATAAATGTTTGATTAATGTTCATTGAAACATATATAATATTTCTATATAAACTCGAATTATTTAGTTCATCGTTATGATTTAAGTTTAAAGAACTTGATTAATGTCATCTTACATGTCACATGATGCCAGAATGGAGGTGAGTTTTTAATACAAGCCAACACACAGAAGCGCCAAAAAGTCCTAGGAGATGATAACTTGTCAGTATTTGAACATGTTGAGGTAGGTTTATGATTCATGAGGCTTTTTCTTTTTGGAGGTTTGGAAGTGTTATAGTATCATTCTGAAGAACGATAAACAACGTAAAAGAAACAAGATCAAGGGAGAACACCTAGAAAGGAAAACTTCATTTTCTTTATCACACCTTTCTCTCAATCATGAAGAGATGTATTTATACAATTGACTAGAACAACCCAAGAAGCTTAACTGCTCATAACCATCTTTAACTAACACTCAACATCCTAACTAACACATGACAGATTGGTTAAAACCAACTCAGTTCCAATTCATACACCAACATTCCCCCTACTTTACAATTGGCTTTCCTCAGGCCCTTAAACACAAACAATACGCGCAAGAGCATGCACCAACATTCCCCCTACAACAAACTCTCACATCACTAAGAACACCAAAAAACTCACTCATTACACTCCTCAACCGTTGAGGCCATAAATTTGCCTTGAATTTGTGAGATAAGCAATCGTTGCCTATGTTTAAGGAACGCTGGAGCAGACAACGGCTTGGTTAGAACATCAGCAACCTGTTCAAAAGCAGGTAACTCCTGAACAGAAAGCTTGCCAGCAGCTACCATTTCCCTAACGAAAAACAGGTCAAGTTCAACATGTTTGAATTTGGAATGCAAGATTGGATTTGCACAGACAGCTACGGTACTGGAATTATCGCACCACAAGACAGGTTTCCCATGAACCGACACCCGCAGCTCACCCAGCAATGATTCAAGCCATACCATCTCCGCAGCAGCACCGACAACACTGCGATACTCAACCTCTGCCATAGACCGAGCGACTACCTGCTGTTTACGAGAGCTCCAAGAAACCAAATTGTCACCAAAATAGATACAATAACCCGAGGTCGATCGTCTATCTGCATCTGACCCCCAGTTCGCATCGGCAAAGCCCGTTAAAGACAACCGTGATGGAGCTGAAAAATGAAGACCAAAATCAGTAGTAGCTTGTAGGTACCTCAGTATCCGTTTTACTGCCTGAAGATGATCATCACATGGTGCTTGCATGAACTGACAGACCTTATTCACAGCAAAGGCAATGTCTGGTCGCGTGACAACGACGTACTGTAACGCACCGACAATACTCCTATAATGAGTTGCATCTTCAATTGGTATTCCAGTGTCAACCGCCAGCTTGCAATTAGTGACCATTGGAGTAGGAAGACCCTTAGCATCTTCCAGACCACTTTTAAACAACAAATCACGTATATACTTCTGCTGACTCAAGACAATCTCATCAGCTTCTCGACACACTTCAATTCCCAGAAAAAAACTCAATACCCCAAGATCCTTTAGCGCAAACTGCTTGTTAAGATCGTCAATCATACCTTGCACTTCTTCCTCACAGCTACCCGTGATGATGATATCATCTACATACACTAGTAGATACACGATGCTGTTAGTAGCTTCCCTAACAAATAGTGAATCATCAGATTTTGCTAACACAAAATTCTGAGTCACTAAAAACTGCTTTAACCTCTCAAACCACGCTTGAGGCGTCTGCTTTAGCCCATAAATGGCTTTGTTAAGATTGCAAACCAAGCTTCCATCACCTTCTTCAGAGCCAGGTGGTTGTGCCATATATACCTCCTCAGTTAGAACTCCATTGAGGAAGGCATTGTTTATATCGACTTGCCTTAACTGCCACCCCTTAGCCAGTGCAAGTGAAATCATAACCCGAACTGTTACTGGCTTGACCACAGGACTGAAGACTTCATGATAATCGATACCTGACTGTTACAAAAAACCCTTAGCTACAAGTCGAGCCTTGTACCTCGCTATGGATCCATCATCATTTCGTTTGACTTTAAAAATCCACTTACAGTTCACTGCTTTCCTTCCACTCGGGAGAGGAACAAACGTCCAGGTGTTGTTCTTCACCAGTGCATCAAATTTCGTTTGAGCAGCAGCTCTCCACTTAGGACTCCTCATGGCTTCTCGAATAGTCCTCGATTCTCTATCTAAGCAAGCCACTTGAAATACTTTGGGCTTCCTAATCCCACTTTTGCTTCGAGTCACCATGGGGTGAACATTGGACTGTTCAACCTCAGCCTGAGATTCTACACATGTGACAGCACTAGGAATTGACTCATTTATAACCGCATCATTATCATCATTCAAAGCTGTTGGAACACATAACTCATGTACACCATTAGTCATCTCTTCATCACAAGCCATAGCAGGCACTACTGAATCATTACTTGCACACACATACTCCTCAGTGTCAGTTTCATGCGACGTGCCAGGCAAGCGCAAGTTAGAGTCACGATTATGGCTATGCACTGGATTAGGCACAACCTCCACACACCTTCTAGGTTGAACACTGTGTAACTCTTCAGAAGACTGAACTATAGGCAGAAAATTAGTCGAGGTAACAGTGCCAGAATCTGACCGACCTCCTCCTTTCTTATCAGCATAAGGAAAGACTCCTTCATCAAACACAACATGTCTGGAAATGAAGACTCTCCCATTATCATCTAAACATTTGTATCCTTTATATAGAAGACTATAACCAAGAAACGTGCACCGCTTAGACCTGAAGTCCAACTTATGCTGGTTGAACGGCCTTAGAAGGGGAAAGCAGGAACACCCAAAAATCCTGAGCATGGAATAATCAGGAGTCTGCTTATTTAGAATCTCAAAAGGAGACTTGCCACCTAAGACTTCAGTTAGTATGCGATTTATTAAATAAATAGCCGAAACAAACGCATGACTCCAGAAATTTAAGGGAAGTTCAGCCTCAGCTAGCAGTGCTAATCCCATTTCAACGATATGCATGTGTTTCCTTTCGGTTTTCCCATTTTGTTCAGACGTACTTGGGCAGAAAATTCGTTGTTGTACACCATTAGCAAAGAACCAGCCTTTGAGAGCTTGATAATCTCCTTCTCCATCAGTCTAAACAACTTTGATTTTGAAACCAAACTGAACGTCTACCATCTTGTAGAAATTTAAGAAGCATTGCATAACTTCAGATTTCCTTTTTAGTAGATAGACCCAAGTGTGCCTACTGTGCACGTCTATGAACGACACATAATACAAATAACCATCAGTAGAAACAACAGGTACTGGACCCCAAACATCTGAAACAATTAACTGAAACGGTTCCTTGTATTCAGTAATGGAATTACAAAACGGCAATTTATGAGCCTTACTTTGTAAACATGTTGTACATACATGAGACAACTTATTTCCACTAAAGCTGATATTACAAGTCTTCATTACTGCTCGAACAGAAGCCATCGAGGAGTGGCCGAGGCGTTTGTGCCACAAGTCTATTGAACTCGATGCTTTAGACACATTGTTCAACTGCCAGCTCGAGTCCTTCACAGTGCATGACAACAACTAATACAACCCATCATGCGTGAGCCTCCCTTTCAACAGGATCTCCTGAGTCTGTATGTCCTTCACAAAGCAGTCAAAAGGGTGAAACTCGATAAAAACCTTATTGTCACGAGTGAATTTAGACACAGATAGAAGATTATTCTTTATGTTTGGCACATGAAGCATATTTTGTAGTAACAAAGGCTTCGAGTTACTCTCCAGACAAGACTGTCCTACATGTGCGATCTTAACACCTTCGCCATTACCCATGAGTAGAGTGTTATTACCTGTATAAACCGTACCAGAGTTGAAGACAGACAAATCATTGGCAACATGATGCGTAGCTCCTGTATCTGGGTACCAGACATCATCAGTTGGTTTGGTCGAGGCACTAACTGAAGGTACTGTGGAAACAAAGGCAGCTGGTAAAGATGACACCGAGGAACCAAAGGGGTTCTTTCTAACAGTAGAGCCAAACAATGAATCACTCGAGGCTACATTCATATGGGGCACTGACACTGGACACATAACCTGAGGAGTGAATAAGTAACCATTTTGGTAGTAAGGCACTGAACCAAACGATTGCACGCCAGGAGAGACTGAGTTAACACCTGGATGACAGAGGAACATAGGAGTCTGGGTAAAACCGGGATTCACCAAGTGATTATAAGCTTGCATGCTAACAGCAGATTGTTGTTTATCACCCAAGAAAGCACGCGACTGTCTCCATCCTTCAGAGGTCGATGCAGTAGAATCAGGCATTCCAGAATAATCTCGATGAAACCTATGATAACACTTCTGTACTGTGTGGCCAAACTTTTCACACAGTTAACATTGAGGTCGATTAGAACCATTGAAATGACCACGACCTCTTCCTCAAAAATTATCACTTTGTTGCAATCTCTGTGAATTCGGCTGTGACTGAGGTTCAGAACTACTAGTTGGCTTCAACTCATCTTTATCACTAGAACTAACTGCCATATTAACTGAAGCACTTTCATACAAGAAAAGCTTATGTCGAGCTTCACAGTCAAGAAGCATCTCAGTTAGGACATCCAATGACAAAGAATCACGAGAGGCTATAGCGATTACAGATTCAAATTCAATGGACAAACCAGCCAAAAGAATGCTGACATGTTCTTGTTAAGTCACTAAGCTTCCTGTTGCATTTAACATGTCACAAATAGACTTAACTTTTTCCAGATATTCACTTACTGTTAAGCCAGCCTTCCTTTGCGAGTGAAGGCTATGTCTGAGGGCTGATATCTTTGCACTAGACCTTGCACCAAAGAGACGTGAGATAGCACTCCAAATAGCAAGAGTTGTCGTGAGACCAGTGAGATGAGGAAGAACTTCTGTACTCACAGTGGTTAGGAGCCAAGATGCCAAGAGTTTGTCTTGTTGCCTATATACCACAAAGGATGGGTTCTCTTCTTCTTGCCCTGAATCATTCGTGACAAACTCACTAGGAGCAGAAATGTCAGTAGACATATATCTCAACAGACCGTATCCATCAATGATCAACATCACTTGATGCTTCCATAAGAGGTAAGTGCTTTCAGACAATTTAACAATGTCGGAATATGTTGAACACTCAAACTAACCGGAGAGGACG